TAGATAGATAGATAGATAGATAGATAGATAGATAGATAGATAGATAGATAGATAGCCAGCCAAAATTTAGATACAAGAGTAAGCTTTATTGGTTTTATTTTTGACATATATGCATCACAGTATAGAAGTATAAAAAAATAGATATTTCCTATAATCTCACTTTCTGGAGGCAACAAATTAACTGATTTCTTTCACACAGTTGAAGAAAAGCTACGTAGCATAGTTTTATTCAATAGAAACTGCACAGAGAGGCTGATGTGGGGGTTTGGAGAACATGCCCACCAATTAATGCAATAGCATGCTTATTTTAAGTGTTTATACTTTGCTGCACCCATAACAAGGAAATATCTTAATCCAGGGCCTATAAAGATGGCTTAGCAGTTAAGAGTGAGAACTATTCTTCTAGGGGACCTGAGTTCACTTCCAGCGTCATATGTGTCTCACAACTTCCTGTAATTCCACCTCCTGGAGAATGACATCCTCTTCTGAATTCTTCACCTGCACTCAACATCTGTACATATCTGCACACAAACACACAAACACAATTATAAGTAAATATTTTTAGAGCTACATTAGCCCAACAACTGAGAATATTAATAAATGAAATGACATTTGAAAAAAAAAGAAATAAGCATTGAGGACCTCCCACAGAGTCATGCCACTTCAAGCTCAATGTAGAGGACTATGCTTTAGAAAGTCACTCCTTAAAATGTAACACGAGGGCTGGGAATATACCTTAGTCATAAGAGTGCTTGCCTACCATGTGCAAAGCCCTCAGTTTAACTACCAGCATGTCCAAAAGTAAAAAAAAAAAAGGGTGTGTGTGTTGTATGTGCGTGTTGTGCCATGGTGCCAAGCTGGGAATTAAACCACATGTAAATGCTAAGCAAACACGCTGCCTCAAAATTAATAAAACTTAATGTTTTTATTTAAGTTGAACGTGGCAGTTAAAAATTGCCAAATGATAACAGAAACATTGGAATTTCCCCTTAGTGTTATTAGCCTTAGGTTGTTTGATTAATAAATGAAAGAATTTAAGAATCTCTGGGACATGCCTGTGTTCCAGAGTGCTGTGATCCCAGACTTGAGGAGGTAGAGGCAGACGAATTTCTGTGAGTTTGAGGCCAGCCTGGTCCTCAGAGTTAGTCTAGGACAGCCAAGGCTATACAGAGAGACCCTGTCTCTGAAAACAAACAAAACAACAAAGACTCTCAGCGACAGTTTGAGTTTAAAAGAGAAACTCCAGGACAGCAAGCTGTCTGCCTGTGCAATTGCCCAGAGGAGGGACGTAGAGAAAAGGCCATGTTATCTAAGTTAAGGCAGCGTGGAGGACAGCCACATGATGGACAGATAGCCACGTGGCAGGATGGGAGCTTTAAAGACAGACTTTAAAAATCCATATGCCTTTAATCCCAATGCTAAGAGAAGCAGAGTCAGGAAGATCTCTGTGAGTTGGAGGTCAGCCTGGTCTACAAAGCAAGTTATAGGACAGCCAAGACTACAGAGAAAAATCCTGTCTCAAAAAAACAAAACAAAATTACCAGTATTGCTCTGGCAACCACCTGAAAGAAAGAAACAGAAAAGTTAGACCTTCCTGAGTTTTCAGACTGAACCTTGTGGGACTCCTCCTTGGGTCTGCACTAGGGTGTAGGAAGTCTGAGAAGGAAAGTGCGTTACCTGTAATAAGCACTAATTATTCCTCCTATTTCTTTAGCATGACCTAAGGTGAACCCACCTTGTGAGGGATGGTGCCTTGGTCAGGTGATTGGCTATCCCCATGAAATTAACTCTTAAGGAAGGAGACAATGCCAAGTCTCCACCTAGAGGCAGATTCTAAGACTCATAGCCAAACTTTGGGCAGAGTGCAGGGAATATGAAAGAAGGAGGAGATAGAAAGACCTGGAGGGGACAGAAGCTCCTCAAGGAGAGCAACAGAACAAAGAAATTTGGGCCCAGGGGTCTCTTCTGAGACTCATACTCCAACCAAGGACCATTCGTGGAGATAACCTAGAACCCCTGCACAGATGTAGCCCATGGCAGCTCAGTGTCCAAGTGGGTTCCATAGTAATGGGAACAGGGACTGTCTCTGACATAAACTCAGTGGCTGCCTCTTTGATCACCTCTCCATGAGGGGGTAACAGCCTTACCAGGCCACAGAAGAGGACAATGCAGCCTGTCCTGCTGAGACCTGATAGGCTAGGGTCAGATGGAAGGGGAGGAAGACCTCCCCTCTCAGTGGACTTAGAGAGGGGCATGGGAGGAGAAGAGGGAGGGAGAGTGGGTTTGGGAGGGAATAACCGAGGGGCTATAACTGGCATACAAAGTGAATAAACTGTAATGAATATAAAAAAAATTAAAAAAAAATTATTCTGTACTTTTGGCTGGGAGGTAACAACTTTCTGTCAGTGGGTCTATAGGAGCGTATTCACAAACTCGCCAGGAGTTACCAAGCTGGCTTGAGCAGTGTAAGCAGTAGTTCAGGAGAAGTTGTCCTTCACTTTTGAATACAAGAGATTCTATCCAGGAAAGAAAGAAAGGAAAGGGAAGAGCATGATAGACAGTTATAGTTCAGTGGTTGAGCACTTTCTTGGCATGCACAAAGCCTTGCATTCAACCTGTACAAAGGAGAGAGAAAGTTTTTGGTTTTTTTTAAGAGAGAAATTTTGTATGGCTCCTTTTTCACTATACCCGAATACCAGTTCTCAAATGTAGTCTTTACAGGTAACACAACAGAAATTTATAAAGTAAGATATCAGGGTAGTATGGTGAAGTGAGCCAGAAAGATTATCCCAGTTTACAAACAAATGAGAGAACACACATGTGGAGATAAGAAGTGAGAAAAGCACATCAGTTGATAGTAGATGTCCAAAGACATACATTTGTTTTCTTGTTTTCCCTCAGGATATCACCACTTTAACTGGTGTTCCAGAAGAGCACATCAAAACCAGAAAGGCCAGGATCTTTGTTCCTGCTCGAAATAATATGCAATCTGGAGTAAACAACACAAAGAAATGGAAGATGGAGTTTGATACAAGAGAGAGATGGGAAAATCCTTTGATGGGCTGGGCGTCAACGTGAGTACTCTGAATATTGTTTTCAGAGTTTCTGTTGAAAATACTGCATTTATTTTCCTTTAAAAAAATACTATTTTTCTTAGAGCTAATATGTTTGTGAAAATTCTTTTTATTACAGTTAGGTTTCACTACAACTTAAAACATGAAAAAAATATATATATAGTCTATTATACATATTATATATAATATGTATTATTATATAATACTACATATTATTCTATATTTATATATTATATTTAATTATATATAAATATAATATATATATATTCCTTTATATATTTATAGACATGTTCATATATGTATGTCTCAGAACAATAAACTGCAGAAGTACTATATTGGATACTGTTGAGATAAGCATTGGTATGTGGCATTCAAACTGTCAATATTGGTCAAAAGTACTCTGGTAGTGATATCAATAATTTGGTGACACTAACTTACTGGTTTTGTTTTGGTTTGGTTTTCAGTTTTTGAAACCAGCTCTCACTTTGCATGTACCTCTGGCCAGCCTAGAACTTGTTATATAGACCAGACAGACCTCAGGTTATGCCCATCCTCCCATCTTTCCTTAGTGCACCACCATGCCCAGCTTCACCTTGTTTTTAAATTAATGTTCTGTATAACATGTATTTTGTTTATTAGAGGTATGAGAACTGAGATTAGAAATTAGGTTATTCGAGGAAGACTTATAATTTCCTGAGATGTTATAATTAATTTAATATTTATACTCATAATCATAAGTTAATTTTTATAACATAGAATAAATTTTAGAAGACATCTGTTTGTTGCTGTGTCCAGGAGACTTTTTGTTAGCTATCCTTCTATTTTGAAATTTCAATAAAATTGTATCAGGCATATTATATAAAATATATAGAAGTTTTGGTATCTTAAATTTTATGTTTCACATAATATATGGAGTTTTTTGAAAATCATACACTTCCAGAGACCTAGGAAATTTAGAAGAAAAATTTTTGTCTGTACGTAGTGATTAAAATGTTAGGATCATTCTTTGGAGTTACATGGATTTTTATATGTTTATCTATACCTGAGATTTACATATTAATGCATTTCCAGTAGTATTCAGTAACAGATCTTGCATTGATACCTCGTATATTCTTTCGATAAGAATATAAGGTTAAGCTGGGTGTGGTGCCACACACCTTTAATTCCAGCACTCAGGAAGGCAGAGGGAGGTGGATCTCTGTGAGGCCAGCCTGGTCTACAAAGTGAGTCCAGGACAGCCAGGGCCAATATAAGGTTAGTCTTCATGGTGGTCAATCCATATAATCCCAGTGTTTTGAAGGTTGGGTCAAGAAGATTTGAGGTCAGCTTTGATTAAAACAGTGATCACCATGAGAAAGGGGAAAAATGGAGTCAAGATGAGAGCGGGAAGGAGAGGGAAGAAAAGGTTGAATTTTCGAAAGTTACATTCATACACCATCACAACACTAGTGGCTAAAGCATAAATTATTAATAGAATAAACAATCATGTTTATACACTTTATATGAAACAGCCTTCAAATAAAGACCCAAAGAAACAGAGAATCTGTGTATTCTTAGGCTTAGATTTGATGATGTATAGACAGTTGTGTAAAGCTATACCTAGACAACGCAGCTATATCTCATGGTAAAAGCCCGGGGAGGCCAGGCTTCTTTGTTTAAATCTCATCTGTATCCTGTGTCTTCAGGGTTTATATTCCTTTAGGTATCTGACGGTCACCTCTAAAATGAACATTTCATAATGACTTCAGAGGAAGGGCAGAGAACTTTGTTACCGCCTGCTTCAGGGCAGAAGGGCAAGAAAAGGCCAGAGAGATCTGATTGCTGCTACTTTGTATTTATTTATATATCAAATGCCAGATACCATGTTTTATGTAGCATGTCTTAAACCGTATCAGAGGGCTTAGAAAATAAATTTATATTACTTTGCTATGCTTGCACAAGTATTCGCCTAGTCATCTTCACAGTATTGCTTCTAGAAATATCACACATTCTGAAATACTGATCACCTAATTAATATATGGGTTGAAAATTACTGCATTCTTTTCAAAATACAGTTTATCCAAAGTAGAACATACTTTAAAAACAAGAGTTTTCTATAGTTACTTTGTCCGAAGTGTTGTTTTATACATCTTAAATATTTATTAAAAACAACAAAACATTAGTTCTTTTTGTTGTAATAGTAAGAAATAACTTGAAAAGTAGAGTATGACAACATGATGACTGTCTCACTAAAACAGGAACCGTCACATTTGTTGACATTAGAATCAAGTTTTTGTCCATGTTTAGCTTCTTAATAACAGAAAAACATAGTACACAAAATTATTGCTAAAACATTCAGAATTTTGGCTTCTTTTGTGATATACTTTAAACCTTTAATAAAATTGTTAGAATTGGAAGGTGAAGTTTTTACATTTACTTGAAAGTTTGTCGTTTACAAAATTTACATCTTGTGCTGGAGAGATGGCTCAATGGTTAAGAACTCTTCAAGATTGTGGGGGTATTTCTGTGCCAAGGTGGAGACCTAAGTCAGGGTAGGCTCCTGGGAGGATATGAGGGAGATTCAAGCAAAGACTCTTAGTAGCAGAGGCCGTAGAGGCTAAAGAGGACACCCTCTAATTTAGACTAGTCTGCTAGGAGAGGGAGGGGAACACCAACCCACTCACAAAAACTTTGACCCCAAATTTACCCTGCCTACGCGTGATGTGTAGGGATACAGAAAGAGCAGAGATTGAGGGACTACCCATCCAATGCCTGCCTCATTCAAAGACCCACCCTATGGGAGAGTGCCAACCCATGACACTATGAAGATATTCTGCATCATGACAGACAGCATCATGACAGAGTTGTTTTCTGCGAGACTCTACCCAGCAGCGCCTCCAAACAGATCCTGAGAATCATAGCCAAACATTGGGGGATGCTTAGGGAGTCTTGTGGAAAAGTGGGAGGAAAGAGAGAAAAGGACCTAGAGGTGACAGGAGCTCCACAAGAAGACCAACAGGGCCAACTAACCAAGGCCCAGGGGGACTTGCTGAGGCTGAAACATCAACCAAGAACCATGCATGGACTGGACCTAGGTCCCCTACAAAGATGTAGCAGATGGGCAGCTTAGGCTTCATGTGAGTTCTTTAGTAAGGGAAGTGGGGACTGCATTGGATGAAGACTCACTTGCTATCTTTTTGATCATTTCCCCTGGTGGGACTGCCTTGCCAAGCCACAGGGGAAGAGGACACGCTCAGTCCTGATACATTTAGATGAGCTGGGATGGATGGAAAAGGGCGTTCCCCTTTTCTGAGGAATAGGGGAGGGGTGAAGGGAAAGGAGAAAGGATAGCATCCAAAGGGGAGGAGGGTAGACGATACAACTGGGAGGTAAAGTGAATTAAAAAAAAAAAGGAATGCTTCAGGAAGACCCACGTTTGATCCCCAGAACCTGCTTTGGGTGGCTCACACTATCCTTAACTCTAGCTCCCAGGCGGTCTGACACTTCTGGGTTGTGTAGGCATCTGTATTAATGTACACATCCCTTCACACATAATTTAAATTAATAAAAATACATCTTATAAGTTTGTGTCTGAAATAAATGAATGGCGTCACCATAATTTAGGTTCTCAGTTTACCTGTATTTTATTTGATAATGATATGGTTAATATTAATGTAGAATATAGGAAATTTACTTAAAACCTAGGCATATTAAATAAAAAAATATAGTAAATATATATATTGTGTTTGAAGTTTTATAGTTGTGTACAGGTGTGGCACTGAGACTCAACTCTAGGACTTTATGCATGCTAGGCAAATATTTTATGACTGACCTACAGCTTATAACTTTCTTTTTAATGAGATCGCGGCTTTATTTAATTTATTTATTAATTAATTTATCTATTCAATAGATTTTTACTACTTACAAACCATTCTTGAGTATGTTGAAAGAGAAATGAGTGTAGATCTTATACTTAAAATGTCTTTTTCTGAAGATCCAAAATTTCCTCATGTAGGTGATCTAGACTTGATGATTTTTGTCTTAGTAGATTACCTCTGGTTTGAATCTACTGTATGGATGGAGAAACATGGAGGATTTAAAGAAGACCTAGACCCAATGGTGAAAAACTATTCAGTTAAAAAGCATAAAATACATCACATACAGTACTTAGAGGATCTCTGTATGTTTAGAGGTTCTTTCCTTGTCTTTAGGACACAAGAACAGACGCTGATCCCTAGAGTAGACTCACGCTAACAGAAGGCAACTCCGCAGTTACTATGTCAGCCCTGTGACGGTAGCTTGATCCCAAATGGTGTTCATGTTTCAGTGAAGATATCTGAGGGCTTACTAGGGAAGTAGGCTTCGTGGCTAATGAACATAGTTTTGGTTTTAAATATAGTGAATATATATCATTATTACCTATTTGTACTATTTTTAAAAATAAAATTGAAAGGCCATTTTCTAAAGTGTGCCTTGATCTTTGTTTTTAAGATTTAAAAATTCACACTTTAATACTATATTGACCTGTTGTATCTGAAGTGCAAGCTTCTTATACTCTTTTAGTTATCTGACTCTTTCAAATGTTAGAACTCAAAGGTAAAAGGTTTATCGTATGTAAACTTGGAAAATATCTAAGTTGCAAAAGTCATCACGAGTTTGGCCCAAGGTCTATCCTGTATAAATCCCCTTAATCCAAATGGGTAGCACAGTGAAGTCCAGAATAAACCATTCCTTGTCATTTAGTAGAACTGCTAGTTAGTTGGTTATTAAACTCTTGTATTTCTTTCTTTTTTGTATTCAGCATGCATGCATTCGTAAGAGCAAGGTCAGGTCGTGAAGTTTGGGAGCAAGCACCATTAACCTACTAAGCCATCTTCTTAGAGTAATATCAATCTGTCATTGAGTTTCTAGAAACAAGTATTTTGTTTCATGTCACATGGACATGGAAAGTCCCCTAATTTAAGCAGAGGTGTTCATGAATTTTGATGTTGCTAATTCTTTCATTGCCTAATTGCCAAATAGTATGCTTGATTCTTAAACTATACTAACCCATTAATGTGGCCATGAGTCTTAAGGGTGTAGTTAGTCCTTGGCTTATCAGTAGAAAATGGCATTGTCTGTGACATCCTTTCCTCTAGCACTGTTTGACTTTATTACAAAGTCACTTCAAAATTTTATTTAATTTATTTTTTTAATTTATTCACATCCCATCCCAATCATAGCCCCTTTCTCCTCCTGGTCCCACCTTCTGTCCCTCTGTCCCCCTAATCCCCTCCCCTAGTTCTCAGAAAGGGGGAGCTCTCCTCCTCTACCAACTGACTCCAGCCTATCAAGTCTTACCAGGACTTCCTGCATCCTCTTCCTCTGTGGCCTGGCAAGGCCATCCTACCAGGAGGAAGTGATCAAAGAGCAGGCTACAAAGTCCATGTCAGAGCCAGCTCCTGTGCCTCTAACTAGGGAACCCACATAGTGACTGAGCTGCCTATCACCTACATCTGAGCTGGGGGCCTAGGTCCTTTGAGTGCTTGGGCTTGGTTGGTGCCTCAGTCTCTGCAGGGACCCCTGGACCCAGATTTGTTTTCTCTGTCTTCTTGTGGAGCTCCTGTCCCCTCTATCCCACCACTCTTCCATAAGACTCCCTTCGCTCTGCCCAAAGTTTGGCTGTGAGTCTCAATATCTGCTTCAATACCCTGCTAAGTAGAGTCTTTCAGAGGACCTCTATGGTAGGCTCCTGTCCTGTTTCCTCTGTTCCGCTGCTTCTGCTGTCTATTCTGTTGGCCTTCTGAATGAGAATTAAGCATCCTCCCTGGAGTCCTGCTTGTTACTTAGCTTCTTTAGGTCTGTGGATTGTAGTATGATTTTCTTGTTATGTGGCTAATATCCTCTAATAATTGAGTATATACCAGGTTTGTCTTTCTGGGTCTGGGTTACCTCATATAGGATGATCTTTTCCAGATCCATCCATTTGCCTGCAATTTTCATGATGTCCTCGTTTTTAATAGCTGAGTATTATTCCATTGTATTAGATGTACCAAAGTTTCTTTATCCATTTTTGGTTGAGGGACTCTGGGTTGTTTCCAGTTTCTGGCTATTACAGATAAAGCCACTATGAACATCGTTGAGAAAATGCCCTTGTTGTATAGTGCAGCAAATTAAACACCAACAAACCAAATAATCCAATTGAAGAGATTATTACAAGTAAAATATTCTGTCATAATTTGCTTGATAATATCGCAAACGCATTGTATTTAAGACATTGATTGTATTGCAGCCAAAGCTTAATAGTAAATCATGGGAATTCTTTCTTCTAGGGCTGATCCCCTCTCCAACATGGTTCTAACCTTCAATACCAAAGAAGACGCAATTGCCTTTGCAGAAAAAAATGGTATGACTGAGGTCCTTGACTTCCTTCCTTTCTAAATCAAGATAAGCTTTTGTATTCTGAACCTTGAAAATGTTTAAGAATGTGAAATTTGGATAGATACTTGTGGCTCTCCCTCATTCCTGAGGTTGTTGGCCACCAGTGGTCCTCAGGAACAAGGGAGCAGAGGCAGTGGATTGGGAGTTTGGTGGCCTATGAGTGTGAACGGAAATAATCATCTGCTATCACCTTGTGGGGAGGCGGATCATTTATAAGGGGTGAATAAGAGTTATTAGAACTGTGGGGAGCGAATGGGGATTTCCAGGATGGGTGAATGTCATTGGTCAAAGGGCAAAGGTACTGTGATGCCCCAGTAACTTGGGGAGGCATTCCAGGAATCCCAGGTGCTTGCTGAAGGGGTTCTTGTCTGGAGAAAGGGAGTTGTAACTGTAATTTCCCTAAGAACTACATGATAGTCTTTAGGTAAAGGGTGAGAAGATCCAGTCTCCCTGAGGCAGAGAAGAGGAAGCCTTTTCCACAAGGGAGTCAGTCCTCCATTTTCACCAACCCCATAGCTTTCTGATAATGGTGGACTGTGACCTTCCTTAGCAGCAAGGTTTCCCCAACAATACTTAGCTTGATAGTCACTCACCACCAAGCCAGAGTTTTTGTTCTCTGACACACAGGTGATAAAAGAGAGAATCAGAACCCACAAGTTATACTTGGACCTCCTCTGCATAAATGCTGTTGTGTACCTGTGCACATACAATAAATAAATGCTAAAAAAAATATTTGTTAAGTATATGGAATATGAGCTGAAAAAAATCATTTTATGTATCTAATCCAGTGGTTTTTAGGTTTCTTTGTTTTTCTCCACATCAAAATTTCTCCCCACCCTGATCACAAAATATAAAATGGAATATGCAGTGTTAAGACCAAACTTGACATAGAGACAGAGGATAAAGTCACTGGTTCAGCACTTACCTTGTTTCTGAGTCTTTCTGCAAAACTTTCTGACATTTCATTACTTAAAATCTAATTGCTGGGCTGGAGAGATGGCTCAGAGGTTAAGAGCACTGTCTGCTTTCCCAGAGGTCCTGAGTTCAATTCCCAGCAACCACATGGTGGCTCAGAACCATCTATAATGGTATCTGATGCCCTCTCCTGTCATGTAGGCATACATGCAAATAGAGTACTCATATGTAAATAAATAAGTAATCTTTTAAAAAAAAGGCAAAATCTAATTGCATGTATCATGAGATGGTCTATTTCAGTTTTAAATTTCACTGTAGAGTTTTTTCTTCTTTTTATCTAAAAATCTAATGCCTCTTATTCTACCTAATAGCCTTTTAATTACTTGAAGGTACTTGTTATATTCATTCTAAACTTCCCTTTAAGCTTAAATGTAAATATAATTTCAGTAGTACATTACATTTATATAGCATAAGAATATGTAGAAGCTTTTGGAAAAGTAATAATACATATTAGCTTATGGCGATCTTGCTATAAGCAAATTTTTAAAATTCTTTTAAAAATTATTTCCTGCTAGTAAGCTAATATACTGTAATGAAAAGGGGACATTGGAGCCAGAGCAGTCTATACTCCAATTTTGAAATTATGTATTTAATTTTAAGTGGACTTAGTGATTGTTTTTTCACAGTTCAGAGTAGTTAGAAGGGGCTGGAAAAGAGGCTTAGTGGTTAAGAAAGCTGATTGCTCTTCCAGAGACCCTAGATTGAATTCCTAGCACCTACATGGCAGCTCACAGCTGTCTGTAACTCATACATGTAATGTTCAGATACACACACACTTAACACATACGCATGCACACACATGATGCAGGCAACACACATAAAATAAGATTTAAAAATAGCACAGAGGAAATGAGAATATCAAGTGTGTACCTGAAATGTAGGTAATTGGTGATGATTGTCTTTGACTTCACTGCCTTCTCTTCATCTGGCATCTTTGCTGTGTGTCTTATATTTAAATTCACTACTGTATATTTGTACCTAATGCATTGTATCTGACAATACATGTGTGTTGTGGGCTTTTCCTGGGGGAAATGTAAGCCATTGACTATTCCTCCAGATAAGACACCAACAACAGATCAAAGAAGCTGTTCCACCTGAGTCTACCCTAATGGACCAGTGAATTTTTTGGCTACATGGCTTCACAGTAGCTATATCACTAACACACTCACCCAGTCCCAGGTGATGAATCCCGAAAGCTAGTTCCCAGGTGCTTCCTGCCTGCTTGGCAAGAACCCCACTGAAGAGTATCCTTTCCCCAGTAACTGGTTATTATTGCTTATATAACCTCACTGAGGAGCCTGTGGGTCTTACAACTTAAGCCTACCACAGAAAGAGATATTTAAATTCTAGCTAGGCTTTGATCCATATTTGTTATCTATTGGAAAGAGATAATATGTGCACCTTCAGTACATTGTTAGTTTAAGGTAGTGTAGTATATATAAAAAATTAAAAAATTAATGTTATCTAGTACATTTGATGTAAAATGTGAAAGCACTATAAATGTTTTCTACATCATTCATTGTACTTCCTCATTTAGTGTTTCTTAGCCCATGATGAAAAGCCTGAGGTCTGGATCTGGGTTATAGAGGAGAATGGCAGAGCATGTGCTGAGCACACCCTGGGTTTATAGCCAGACTAACTGTATTTGAAACCATGGCTGGTAACCAGAACTTTGTACTTCCGTCTCCATATGTAAAATGAGAATTGCTGTGAGGATTAAAGGAGTTAATAAAAAGCAAAGGGATTAAATAGGATCTGACACATCATGCATAAAAGAACATAAATATGTCTTCTTAGTAATAGACCAAGAACTTCTCTTCAAAAGGTTTAAGTACACTTTCCTTGGACACTTTTTGGTCAAGTTCTAAGTTTCTTACATATGAAATTGTTGTCAGCCTAACTGTATTGCTACTTTGATTCAAGATAACATTGTAAAATATTTCTGTATTTTAATTAAACAGTTCTATTAATGTTTTCCATCCTTTCAGCCTTCCGTACTTCATGTCTCACACCTTGCAAATTACTCATCTGGGGGTTGTATCATGAGTTCCATAACAGGAAATCTAATTAGATTGTTAAATCCCTGGCTAGTCTTTCTCGTAAGTGGTCACAGGGCATGTATGACTGCAGTTGCTGTGTGAATTGCAGGTGTGAAGTAGACGCTGCTGCTATTGAAATCAGGTGATTTTCTAATTTGATTTGCCTCCCCAGGAAATAAAGTTGGTTAGGCAAAGTCAGGAGGAAATGTGACTTGAGAAAGCTCAGCTAGTAGTGACTTAGAAAACCCCACTCGCGGTGGATTAACATTTCAGTCTGCAGCATACAGAACTGTCCGAGTCACTGATTTGTCTTCTGCACCTCGCAAAGCCTCACATACTCTGTACACAGTGAAGTTAAGACTCTTTGGTCTTAAGAATTTAAAGCTACACTGATTTTCAGGGTAATGCTATGCTTTGTACTCTGTGGTACTTGTGACCTGCTGTGTTTAACTTTTAGCATTATGTATCTTTAAGTAGGTAGGTCCTACTTTCTCAGGTAAAGTGAAAGCACTATAGTGGAAGCAAGGTGTGTTAGTCACTGCTCTATTGCTGTGAAGGACACCATGATCAGGGCAACACTTATCAAAGAATTTAAGTGGGGGCTTATAGTTTCAGAGGCTTAGTCCATTATCATCATGTCAGGAGCATGGCAGTAGGCAAGGGTGGCACTGAAGCAGAGACTGAGAGTTAGATCTTGATCTACAGGCAGAGAGAGACACATGTACTTCAGCCAGGCCATACCTCCTAACCCTTCTAATCCTATCAGTTCCTCTCCTTGGTGGCTAAGTATTCAACTATATGCTCCCGTGGTGGCCATTTTTATTCAAACTACTACAACACAAGTTCTAAGTAAATAGCTTGGAAGGTTCCAGAATCCTCATAGCTTGAAGAATCTTTTCTAAATTCCCCAGCATCCTTCTCCATTATATTTACTTTTCTTAAGAGTACTGTAAGGGGCATATAAATGAACCTTCCTTTTCCCCACACCTAACATCATTTTATTGGGACCTAATGCTATTAAAAGTTAGGTGAACCAATGTCTAAATTACCAAATGCAGAGCATTGAAATGCTGGGTGTCATATACCTGTATTCTCTGCTCAGGGGAGGCTTGAAACAGGAAGATCAGGATTGCAAGGTTATCTTCAGCTGTGTGCCTCCCTCTCAGAAAAAAAAAAAAAAAAAAAAAGAGAAAGAGAAGAAAGAAAGAAGTTCAAAAGCAGTAACAGATAAAGCCTGCTGCAGTAAGGAGCTAGCAACTAGGATTGGAATTCTACATTGTCTTGCCACACAGAATAGCGAGGCCAGTTAAAGTACCCAAGTTAATCCCTGGAACCACATTCCCCTCTTTTTGAGCAGGCCTTAAATCCTGTTAGCGACCTACTGGTTGACACCAAGTCCTTTGAACTTTTGCAGTGATTCCCCTCTCATAACTCTTGCAGTATACTTGTGTACCTTTTTCGAATTGCTGTTGTTCAGGCACTCTGTCATATGTCACTGCTGTGTGGTCAGGGTCTAGGGATAAATCATTATGTAAGGCATAATAGTCCTGATGCTCTAGATACTATTTTATCCTGCCTATTAAATTCTAAGCACCTATCAGGGAAAACAGAATTTTTTTCATCTTTGTCTTTAATGTGTTCAGTACATATTGGTGAATTTCAGTTAATATGGTTAGTGAATTATTTTCAGATTCTGTTACCTTCCAGAAAACATACTGATTTGTAAATTATTTTCCATATCATTTAAACTTTTCTATGTCATTTTAATTTCCTACTGCTCTATCTCAAAAATAGAACTTTCCAGTTAGAAATTTGAAATGACTAGCAGTGTCTTTAATTTATGTTTTTAAATAATTTATTTTAAGTGTATGGATGTTTTGTCTGCATGTATGTCTGTGTACCAGATATTTACCATGTGCCCTCGGAGGTCCCAAGACTGGAGTTAGAGACG